TTAATCGAATCAGCCAAAAAATCATTCGGTAGGTGTTTCATAATAAAAAATATCATTATCTGTATCACCTTACAAGGCCTATCATGCATACGTATAAGTATTCTGATAGATGAACGTTTTTGTAATACAGTATGTCAAATTGCAGCCAGAATATTACCACATATGAGTTTTTACAGGAAGATTGTGTGCACTTGTGATTGCCGTTTGAGTGTTTAATTTCTATTTTAAGGTTAAATAAAACAGGTTTTGATATGCGACCGAATAAAATACAAATCTGCCGAAAATAAAATAGTTTCGACACATTCTAAAAATGGTTTTTCGACATCTTTTTTCTTGTGATAATATGATTCGAGTAATTTAGACACGTTCTCTTGACAAAGCAATTGTGAAATGTTCCCATCGAAAAGGAGTGATAATGATTAAAAGGGATGAAATTTTTTCAGATGTAAACATCTTGAAAAAAAATGAATGATATAGAAGAATTTTTTCATTTAGAGGAAGAAACATCGAAGCATCTGAGCGATAGATTTGAATATCTGCGCAGATTTGTTTCAAGAATATTTCGAAAGATTAGGTGTCAAGGTTCGTCGCACAGGGTAGGTTTTTCCATTATGTATCCGAAGGAACGCTGTCACCTTGATGTAAATAATCTGAGAATCGAAAGCACAGCGGGCCATGTTTAATTACATGAACGTTCTTCTCAGTTTTCAAGGACCCCGTCTGTAGACGTGAAACCTCGGGGTTTAATGATGAATAGGATACATGCTGGCTTCAACTAAGTATGATTGTGAAACATATACTCAATTAAATTGTCAATTTAGAGGAAAGAACGATGGAGGAATAGATCTAGAAGTTGGGGTGCAATGTAAAGCTTATTTTAGTCACAACATAGGTATTTAATTAATAATAGATGTTCTAACTTATATTACAAATATTAACCATTTTTTATTTAGATAAAGACCACATTGACGCATTTAAGACCGTCGTGCGAGAACGTGGTTATGATATCGGCGTTTTTGTAGGAGCTTCAGAGAAAAGAATTTCGTTGGGGGCGTATATATCGGCTACAAAATCGGATCGTATTATTGTTACTACCCATAAAAGAATGTGCCGAGATATTCTTGATTTTATCATTAATCGATTAAATCAAAAATCTCGTGCCTTGGAAGACAGATGCAAATTTAGGTTAAATTATAAGTTAGGTTTTATTTCCTTTTTTGCAACCTTTCTATCAATTTCATATATTTTTACTTCATAAATTTTTAGCTAATTGACCATCATTCTCTTTTTTCTTTTTTTCTTTTTCTTATATTTTTCTTACATTTTTCTTTTTCTTGCTTTTTTTCTTTTCTCATATATTAAACTAGGGGTCTGCAAATGGGCATGCCGGGCACATTGGCACCAGGCCATACACTAGTGCCTCATGCCGTGCCCATGCCTAAGGCACAAAAATGC